GTGCCCATTCGATGCCCTCTTCTGCTTGCTCGCTTGCCTTGGTGGAGTCATAAATGTGGCCATGTAGGTATGGTACGCAAGGCATAATACTGGATGGGTGTGCTCCTGAGCCCTATATCAGAGTGCGATGCTTCGTTGCATGAGCAGAGACACTCTAAGCAGATGTGCAACGGACAAAAAGTAAGGGTCCCTGACCAGCAAGCAAAGTGCGAGGTGATGGTTTAGAGATTGAGTATTGTGTCCCTGTCGAATCCTTGCAGAACGGTTGAGAATGCCATGTGGTGTCAAGATCCGAATGGCTGCCAAGCAACGGCAACATTTGTGTGTACGGACGTAAAGTCGAGCAAGCCACGCGCGACGCCTGCTTGCTAGCCGTTTGTCGTCTTCATGGTCAACTCGACCCAGGAACCTGGAAGAAGGATGGGATATTCTCAATGACGGAAAAAGATTAGAATCGGATTTGTAGACCCAGAAAGCCGGTAGTAAGTATTCTCTTCACAATTTGGTTGGCTGAAACGCGAGGGTAGTCGGACATATCGAAATAAGATCATTGCGGGCGCACTATCTCTTTGGCTGCCGTTACTAGGTGATGGTATGTGGCTGTTGCTTCTATCTCACTTGCCATTCCAGGCTTTATGGTGGCATTCTTCCTGTCATTTCTTCACAATAAGAAGAATGAGGCTGAATGACGGGCAGTCTGAAGGCGAAAGCGGCGAGATCGGCGAAAAGGGATCCCAATGAAGGAGAAATGACATAGATAGAGAAAGGTGACTGACGATAGTCCTGTGGCGGTTGGAGTTGAGAAGAATGAAAGTTGGAGTACGGGCGTAAAAGTGCGTCCCCACTTTCCCCGACGTCCACCCAGTGCCACCATTCTCCACGCGCGCGAGCTGACGGAGAACCTTGGCAGCAGCCTCAAGGAACCACATGCAAAACTCCAACTTGCCACTTGCATCCCACCACCAGAATCCCATACACGTCAACGAAGCCAGCACGACATCCCGCCGAAAATGGACAACAACAAAGACCTCCTTGCCAAAGCAAAGGAGTACTCGTCCAACAACGTGGACCTCTACGACCTGCTACAGATCGACAGCACTGTCACTGAGGAGAAGGACGTCCGCCGCGCGTGGCGCAAACAGTCGCTCAACTACCACCCGGACAAGCTCAAAGACGCCTTTGACCCCGAGAAATGGGAGCTCATCGAGACGGCCCGCGACATCCTGCTCGACGCCGCCGCCCGCGCCGCATACGACAACGCCCGCAAGGCCGTCCTCCTGCGCAAGGCTGAGCGCGACCGCGTCCAGGGCCAGCGCAAGCGCCTCATTGACGAGCTCGAGGCCGCGGAGCAGGAGGGGAAAAGGCAGAAGCTCGCAGAGCAGGAAAGGGCGCGCGAGTTGGAGCGGGAGAGGGCGCGGCTTGCCGAAGAAGGGCGCCGGCGCATGGCGGAGGAGTCGGAGAGGTTCAAGCGGGAGAACCTGGAGCGGTTGGAGAGGGAGAGGGAGCCTGACGAATACGATGAGAAGCTGGCCGAGCTACAACAACGGCTGGACGAGAAGAGGCGACTCAAGGCCGAGAAGAAGGCGAGGAAGAAGGGCGGCGCAATGGGCGACGCTACTGCTGATGCGAGCACGCCTGTAGCAGCGAACACATCAGAACCAGCACCAAAACCGGCTTCATCAGCAGCACCCCCTAAATGGGAGGATCTCAAGGCACGAATGATTGCGGCTCAGAGACTCAAAGAAGCGAGAAAGGCTGCCGAGGCAGGTCAGGCGACTCAGGAAGAGGTCAAACAAAAATACGAGACTGTTCAGGCTCTCGACCCGAGGAATAAAGCCTAGACAGGCTCGGGATGGGTTTGGCTTGCGTTTGGTGGAGGAGATGATGGCGGACGAGGCCGCGGCGATTCAACTACGCGATTATACCCCTTTTTACTTTCTATTTTACAATACGAGCGGCACTGACTTTTCAGTTACCCAGATGCCTCGTTCAACCCGTTTCTCAACCACTCGGGCACGAATGCCTTGATCTTCACTGCGTTGTTCTGCTCACCGTCCCCCTCGCCCTCGCCCCACTTCAGCAAGAACTCGTTGGCGGGGTCAAAGGTGGACGCGGCCGTCTCGCCAGGTAAGACGACGTCCGTCATGATCTCCAGCCGGCACAGGCCCAGGCCGACGTTCCCGATGCCCTTGAGCCACTTGCCCGCGCTCCGCCCCTTCTTGCCAGACCTCCCGATGCTCGTCTCGCGCGGGATCGATTCCGCGGGCAGACCGCCCTCGGGCCCGCGATTCGCGGCGTCCTGGTCCGCTGCCTCGGGTCGGTACTGCAGCGTCTGGGGCGCCGCCCTGTCCACGTCGTAAATCATGCACGGCAGGATCCGCTTGCGCACCACGCCGCGGTGCTTGGTCCGGATCGTGAGCTCCTGCCCGACGTAGCATCCCTTGTGATAGTCGATCCCGTTCATGTAGTCCATATTCGTCTCCTGCGGCAGCGCGTGCTCCCGGATGACCTCGTCCTGGCCCTCGGCGACGCCCTGCAGGTACCGCCTGATGGTGTAGCTGTCCTCTGTCGTGACGTCCAGATCCAGTGCCAGCCCAGGCGGTGCCGCGGCCGCGTCCCCGCCCTGTATCACGCGATATCCCAACCCAGGCGTCCGCGGATCCTTGGTGATTGTGTCCAGCAGCGCGGTATCCGTCGTAACCGGCTTCCCGCTATCGTTCCAAGCGTGCCACACCGTCGCCTCGTCCGCCGCGAGCAGGCGCACGGTAAGCTTGGCGCGCAGCTTGTACCGCTTAATGTGCTTCGCCAGCCTCTCCGCCTCGTTGGCGTCCACTTCGATGAGGAACCGCGTGCCGGCCTGCTCCGACTCTGCCGCCGCCACGCTGCCGCCGAGGCCCGCGAGGTCTGGGTATATGAACACATCGTGCAGGACGCGGCCCGTGGCGTTGAGGAAGGCGGCGTAGAAGCCCGTCTTTCGCGCGCGGGCGGCCTCGGAGGCGATGTTGCCCGTGATGACGCCCTGGAGGAACTTGGCGGCGTCGGCGCCGGCTACGGAGATGAGGCGGCGCGAGGGGAGGGCAGCGTAGCCGGCGGAGGGGGGCGCTGGGGTTGGAGTCGTTGGGTTGGTACTCGAGTATTGTCGGCGCTGTTGTTGTTGGCGGCAGGCGCGGCAGACGAAGGATGTGGCGGACAGCTGCTTGCGCGCTGTGAGCGTCGCGTTGCGGGTTACGGTGTTCATCGTTGCAGGTCGGGCGGCCTTTGGAGCTAGGGGTACTTCAACACTAAGAAAGAAAATGTATCGAGGAAGGAAAGATAGAAGAAGATTAAATGATGTGTTGACTCAATCGGCGACCGAGCTCGCTGTGCGGCTATTCGAACACGCCCGCGCCCAGGATGTGGAATGGGAAAATTGTTTGGTTTGTCATGACGTCCTAGCTCCGGGACGCACGGGACTCTCGGCCCGGGGATAGGCCCCATGGTACTGGACAATGTCTAATGCCAGGGACGGAGGGTCGGACGGCGTTGCTCCGAGTTTCTGCCCCACTGGCGGAAGAGAGCTGTACTTATGGTGGAGACTGGAGAGGTTCGTCTCACTCTCGACCTGAGAGGAAGGGTTCCCCTCTGTATGGCCTGTGCTTTTCGAAGCTAAAGTGCTGCCTAGAGATGACGCTTTTCTTGCAACATCCTCCTTGGACCATGATATCGTTCAAAGTTTTCTATCGACAATGTACGAATATCCAGGTGGAACTGTTTCTGAAAAGGACCGACGACGCGCTGCTGCAGGTCAGGGCGACTGATGTCGGCATTGCTCACACTCGTTGCCTGGACGCACTAACTTGATGTGGAATACGATTCGACACAGCGCGCTTAGATTAAGTCAGCGATTACAACGTTTATATCCGTCCTCGCTCGGCAATAGTCAATACAGATACATTGGTGCCTGAGTTGGATTTATTTTATCAGTGTTGAGGCACATGGAAACCATCGTGGCTTTACCAAACTTGATCAGCTAATTGGCCTGGTGGACAACGATTCTACGTCTATGTCTCTCTCGCCTACCGCCATACGACCTGGAACATTGTCTTCCCTCTCTATGTCTCAGAATCACGACTGCCGGCCACCCGATATCCATGACGCAAATATCCAACAATGTCGAGCGGCGCCTTCGCGGCAGTGAGCCATGGGCGCAGCACACAGCGGGAGAGGCGTGCATTCCTCCTGGCAAGGCTGAAGGCACAGAGGCAATCGGAAGTGGGATTGTGACCCTGGTGGACTCCCAAATTTCCCTGGAATAACCAACCCCAGCAGGCACCCGCCAATGACAGCCATGTTGCCAGCGGTCCCAAGTAAGCACTAATGCTCGACGCCGCCCCGTGGCAGTGTGGGTGCCAAGGACGAGTGCGACAGACTGCCAGTGTCGCACCTATTCGCACCAAATCAGCTAATTTTTCCCGTGCCGAATACCAGACTACCGTTTGAAACCCCCATAAATCGCTGTACGGGGATGATGGATCAGCAACTTGTAGGAGGGCCGGGCCCCTGGGGTTCACCGTTCACCACTCAAAAGAGTCGAGATTGACTGGAGGATCAGGGGTATGGAAGGGCAATGATCAATCCCGTCACCTCGAGCGGATCCCCGCCCGAATCCTACGAATATCAGGTGTCTGGTCCCAATGCTACCCTCCCTTGTCTTGCAGAAAAGCATCGAGACATGTTCTTCTCGCGCTGCTTCCCGCTCGCGCCACACTTTCGTCTCTAACCATCTTTCTCTCTCTCGATTTTCGTCTGTGATCGTCACTTGGGGGATGAGTTGATCTCGCGTCTGAAGGATTTTCTCTCGTTTGTGGTACGGGTACTCACTCCTAGGGGCGGCGACCTTCATTACACGCCGTAGTCTGCGCGCATCAACCAGGTTGAGAAGCGGCGAGTCGATCGCGGGACAACACCGAGGATCATCGCGACGTTCGCATTTCACAGCGAATTCTTCGACCATACCCATCATGGTATCGCGATCATGGCTGGCGGCGTTCCTCGCCGTTGGACAGCTTTCTTCTATCTGTAGCGCGCAAGTGGATGTCCCCTCAGTCAACAACTTTCGCAGAAGAGTCTTTGCTCGAGGTAAGCTTCGGCCTTATGTGCTCTCTCAAGACACAGGGCATCACTAACGAACACCAGCGTCGGTCATTGGCAATTGGGTCTATTACGATGGAGGTGAAGTATCACAGGTCATCAGCGGGTTGAGTCCCCAGTCACAATGGCGGCCCTCCAACCCGACAAACACGACGCTCTCAATCGACCTCACCAAATCATGGACGCCAGAGGACGTGGAAATCAAGGAAACCTCCAAGTCGGCTCCCAAAATGATGAGACAGGCCATCTTCACCGACAACTCGTCAGACTCCTTTTACATCTGGGGCGGCTTCACCTCCTACGGCGCCAAAATCCCAGACGCGAAACTCTGGCACTTCACCCCGGACGGCAGCGGCGGCGGTCAATGGGGCACCGTCCTCCCGCACGGCAACACCGCCTTCACGGCCCTCACCCGCTCTCAGGGCGGCGCCTTTGTCAGCACCAAGGATTCCGGCTTCTACTTTGGAGGGTTCTCCGATTCCGGGTCCGACCCGAACCCCAACGGCCCCGTGCCGGGCTTTTTGCAGTTCAACTACACGGCGACGGACACGGCGTGGACAAACAACTCGGACAGCGTGCCCTACTCCGACTACGGCACTCTTGTAGGCGCCACGGCGCACTACGCGCCGTACGGGCCGAACGGATTGATTATGATTTTCGGCGGAGGATCGCACGTCATTGGGACCGGCCAGAGCGTGGATAACGTGGGCTATCTCAGCTTCAGCACGATTTACTTCATGGACCCCGTCACCAAGGTGTGGTATACCCAACAGACGAGCGGCAACGCCCCGGGCCCACGCATGTGGCACTGCACCGTCGGAGCCCAGGGTCCCAACAACACATACGAGATGTAGGTTCTTCTTGATAACTCTGCCAGAAAAACCTCAGTCTTGAAAAGATGCTAACCCATCATCAGCTTCATGTACGGCGGCAGCAACATCGCAAACAAGGAAACCTTTGACGAGGTCTACATCCTCTCACTCCCCGGCTTCGTCTGGCAAAAGGCAAACTACACCTCCGCGGCCCCGCGCGACACGCAATCGTGCGTCGTCGCCGGCCAGCGCCAGATGATCACGTTCGGCGGCGTCAACAGGATGGCCAATAACGCCAACTCGACCCTCTTCTTCAACGAGGAAGATTCCTTCCGCCAGGGCGTCGGCGTCTTCGACCTCACGGCGCTGTCGTGGAAGGACACGTACGAGCCCACGGCCGCCGCGTACGATTCGCCCGACGTCGTCAAGGCTTGGTACAATGAGGGGTGAGTTCTGATCCCATTCTCCCTTTAGACAACATATTATCTAGAGTGTAGTCCCGCTGACTTTTTGTTGCAGTAACCTCGCCAGCGTCCAGTACGGCTCGGGCGTCGAAGCTCTCATGAACTACGGCAAATCCGGATCAGGCTCGAGCTCAGGTTCAGGTTCCGGTTCCGGCTCCGGCTCCAGCACCAGCTCCGACTCGAAATCCTCCAACACGGGCGCCATCGCCGGCGGCGTGGTAGGCGGCGTAGCCGGCGTCGCCCTCATCGGCCTAGCCGCATTCTTCCTCATGAGGCGGCGGAAGCACAAGAAGGTCCCGACGGAAGAAACCGGTCCCAACGCGGTCGAAGCCCCGGGCTCGGCGGCCTACTATGATAACAACAACAACCACAATGCCGGGATGCAGCAGCACCAGCAGACGGCCTACTCGCCGGGCCCCGCCCCGTCAATGACGACGGCGCCGTCGGAGCTCCAGGGGGAGTACAGGGACCACTCGCCGTTCTCGGGCAGCGACGTGCCGCCCAAGATGATGCAGCCTCCCGAGATGGATGCGGGGGAGCCGCGGCACTATTACGCGGCGGAGCTGGACGGGACGGAGGCGCGGAAGTGAGGTTAGTTAGCACTGAGGGCTGGCTGACTGAATGTTTTGGGTATCCTTTGAGGGGAGGAAAGGTACCTGGACTGGAAGAAATATAATTCATGATGAGATGTGGAAAAGTTCAAGGCCGAAGTAATGTTTCTAGGAAAAATATAGACTTTGTAGTATACACTGTCGATAATACCCTGCCTGAGAGAAGGCACATGATGAGACTTGCGTTTTCTAGAATACATGTAGCTTACTTGCCCTCGGCCCATGAAAACAATGAACTTGAATATGACAACCATCACTCCCGGTGTCCAGCTAGGCATCAAGGGCATGGGGAGAGTAAATCAGGACGCTTGAGGTACCTTCAGGACGCCCGATTAGCTTTACGGTGCAGACACCTGATCGCTGCGCTCAGCCTGTATGCCATCATCGTACTTAGAAGATTGCAGGCTGAGTGGTTCCCACAAAGCCTCTGTTGCGTTTCTCCATGTCTCATAGCAATCCTAGGCTGCAAGGGGTAAGGAGCATCTGCTCTACCCTCTTCTGACAGTGGCCCCCCTTCCAGTCGATGGTGCCGCCTTTGAACTCGCCCTCGTTGCGTATCGTCGTGGATTCCACAGTGAGCGTGGTCGACTGCCTTTGGGAACCACTCAACATAGCCAAGCAGCATCTATCTTCCTTGTTCTCTAGAGCTTACCTGAAGATTTAGGGTGTTACGATGTTATCACGACCCTCAGCTAGGTATTGTACTGCACCGTGAGGGGTGAAGCGCTAACAGAGGCCAGACCCTGGTGAAGAGCATCAATTTCTATATCATATCTCTTTTCACAAACGGAGTCTGCGGTATGCGTTGAGATTCTGTGGACGTGACGGATGCTGTCCACAGGCTGGCCAGAATCTATGCATACCGAAGCATACACTGGGTACTTGGTGAGCTGAAAGAAGCCGGTTTTCGTGGATTCTGAGCAACGGGAACGGCTGGAAAGGATGTCATTAAGGTTTCACGCATGCTAGCCAACTTTTGGGTTTGCCCATTCATGTAGGGGCCGTCGATTTGTCCATTCGGGAGGGGTCGTAGGAATCTGGAAGAAATAAGGTGGTCAGAGGAAAAGTAGTCAGAAGATTTTAGGCACCAGATGAATCGACAAAACACACTACGACTAAATCACTCTGCAGGCTATCGGGAAACCTAAGTGACAGGTTTATTCGTTTGCCGAGTGACTTTCGTTCCCCTCGGCAGTTGGCATGTGTGATCTGCAATCGCATGACCGATTTACAGAGGTTGTGATGGTGGCCTTCTTCACTCGTGGTAGTCATGACCAACGAGATGATGACGTGCCTATTAGATTTACATAGAGATCGGTCGAGCATACTATTCATGACTCAACCATTGGTAATGTTTACATGGGGAACACTTTGAGATACCGCCTCCAGCCGAGAAGAATTCAGCATGGCTTTTTTTCTCTCTTCGTCCAGCTGGGCGTAACGTGTAAGTTGAGTTCCCACATAGGGAGACGTGGCGTCGGGGAAATGCCAGCTACAAGGTGCTGTGAGACAGACACCATAGCTCGCGCGTATTTGTCGGACTGGGCTGTCGAGATGTTCCTAGTCTATGACTGGAGCAATATACTGCTGAATGATGAGCTCACACGGACCGACGCAACCTACAGGAACGGCCAGACCTCCAAGGTCGGGGCCCGATAGGCTAACACTACACCCATACCAACTATTCTCGATAAATTCCTGACCACAACTGACAAAGTCACAACAGCGGCGGCCAAGTCTAGCCATCACTGCTCTTCAGCGCCCCCGTATCCTAGCCAGCTGTGCGCCTTGGAGTGGACCACCTCTGGCCCCCCTTCGACGCAGGAGAAGTCCGTCACGAGCATCACGATGTGTAAACTAGAACCTTGGGCCCTCGGATACAGCAGGTTCCGATCCGTGTGTATGAAGGCGTATAGCTTCTGCTTTACTAACACGGTGGCGGATCGGGTTGGGACCGATGTGGAGGTTGCCAACGGTGGTACGCATCTTAATCAACCTCTCGTATCCAACGTGACTACTACTTTGGACTTGAATGAGGGTACGACTTTGATTCAGGGCAAAATGCTCATCTTCAAATAGAAACTAGTAACTATTCAGGGAAGGGGATATAAGGGAAAGGATATATTGAATATACTAGACTTTACAACGGCATATAGGCTCCGGTTTAGGAAGTGCGATCGTTGAGGCTCTCTTCTCCGCCGGTTTCATGCTCGCAGACAAGCAGGCTATAAGAACCAATTGTCGTACAACCGGACCCAAGTTATCTACTCCTAATGAAGTCTTTGGCCTGGCTGGTGGTAAGGACTAAGGGGATACATGGGAGACAAATCATCGCCCTGATGACAGATGATTCAATTTCAAAAAGGAAAAGCAAGGAAGGAGAGGCAATGCTGACCTCACAATTCGGGCCCCTGCCCGGAATCGAACAGGGCGAACCTCAGTTAACCCGTACTCTGATTTCGTTGGAGTATCAGGTTATTCCACCATTTCACTACCTCGCACGCAGTTTTGATCTGACCCGCCAACCGTAAACGGGCGCCCCTGAGCTGGTGATAGGAAACGACGCCGAGGGGGTATAAGTAAGGTTTAGCGAAGGTGAATGGTTCACCCGCGGGTGGGAGGAGCTAGAAGGCTCACAAAGACATAGAGGTGAGAAGGAGCGATGCTGGTGCCGGTGGCTGAAGCTGTAGTTGAACACCATCAACTGCCACGACAGGCTTGACGATCTCTCACCAGCGAAACATAGTCTCGGCCAAAGACCACTCGGCCGAGTAAACGGGATGACGGAACCCCTTCTCGAAAAGGACCCTGACGACCCTGTCGAGACGGGTCCCGGAGCCTTGGATCCTAAAGCTCATCGGGCGAAAGAAGTTACGTCAAGTCTCTTCGCCGTTCATCGAGGAAGCAACTCGGCGATCCGTGGTCCCGATCCCAACGTCCTCCCTGTAGGGGTACACCACGCACCAAACTGGTACACACCACCTCGCCGATCACACTTTCGCCTCAATACCGCAAATCATGACAGCATCACTCCCGCCTCGGCGCCGAAAGGGATGGGAAAACAACCACCTTTGATGCCGGATAACCGCGTCCCAAAACGTGGAATGAATCTAGCCCGCCGTCCGAACCACCCCCCGTTGGAATCATCTCGCGTCAAACCCAAGTAAGAGGATCAACGCCTCTAAAGCTCTAATGACTTCATCACTTTTAGGGGTCCAAAAAACCGGGACCCGCGGGAAGGGGAGCTCATCTAAGTGGTGAACGTCTAAAATATGGGTCCATGGGGTGTCCCGGACTTTGGCTTCTCCCCGAAGAGCCGGGTTCCTTGTGCTGTGCGCCGTGCCGCTCTCAAACCCGCGGGTTTTACACTTTACGGTAATGCTTCTGCTTTCTCTGCCTCAAACCCAAGCCTACCAGGTAATTAGAACGAAGCTAGGGTGAGCTGAGGTAAGCGGATGGTAGGGCGGAAAACCGATGGCCTTGGGATGGAGCTTGTCTGGCGGATCACCCTCTGAGTGTACTACATACGTAGGTTTGTCTCTTCTGTGCGGTCGTCGGGGTTGCACAGGTCTGCGAACTCCGCTCCGCGCCGAGAGTTCCCCTCTATGAGCCCACGCTTTGTCTATTGCGCACCCCACGCGGGGTTAAGAGCGAGTGCGACAACGCGGCGCACGCCTTTACTGCACGAACCTGTAGTGGTCTTTGAGATGTTCGGAGTATGAATGCAGAGTACGGATACGCTGTATCTGGATAGAGGTGGTAAGATGGTGAGGTTTACAGCCATAGGTAGAGTGTGAGCTACGCCATCATGGGATGCAAGTCAGGTCGTCAAAAGGCACGGTCACGTTCGTCCAGTCAGGCGGTATCTGTAATCGCGTCCCGGTACCACCCATCCATCCGTCAACTCGTCTCATCGGACACACCAGTCTCTGCTTGAGACGACCAACCTTGACTCTGGAACCCATCAGATGACTGGTGTACGGGTACGCACTCGACTTTCTTCCACGGCAGACCGTTTCGTTTCCGAGAGAGACATGCAGGCGCAAACCAATGTCAGGAACCCGGGTTCACGGGCCAACTCTTGTTTCCTCCCGACGGAGAGAGACAGTGTGCTCGTTGCGCGAACCGCTGGCCTGGGTAGCCGAAAGGTAAACGTGTCTCGTGATCCGGACGGCCTTGACGGTTGTGGAGATGGCCGTCCTTCGGTGCCGAGGGCGGAAGTGGGATTGATCTCATGAGCTTCCTGGTGGAGAGGGGGCACCTGGAGCATGGCGCAGCGAGCCACGCACTACTGTTTTGCTTCAGAATGCGACATCTCCCCCGTTTGAAGATACATATTTCTGGGGACACGACCGATGAAGCTCTTGTGGCCCCTCAGATCGTAGACTCTCTTGGGCTCAAGCGATTCTGATTCAGATGATAGTCTAACAGTCTAGCTGTCAATAACGGACAGATGATGCTTGGCAGCCCGGAAAGGTACTCGCACGAACTGACAAATCCGCCCCAGTGAACTCGGCCGCGACCAACAAACACAAATCCAGCACGTTCTGCGGATCTTCGCAACAGAGAGGTGCGGCCCGCTGCTTGCATTTCCTCACGTTTTGAAAGGCAGGGAGGGGGAGGGGGTGGGTGTATGAATGTCAAATTCTGTCTCTGATTTCCAAGCCAACAGTCCTTTTTTGCTCGAACCAGTCATCGGACGCTCGGACAAAGTGTGGGAGAATCCTTGGCAGCCGTGGCAGGAACGGAGTTAGTACATACATACAAGTAGTGCTGGGCACCTGGATGACTGATGAATAATTCGGCTTCGGCTTACGATATCAGCCCCCACGGCTTTGCACAGTTTGAGGCCCATTTGCTATATGCTAAAACCACACCCCTTTATGCACAAAGCGGATAAGGTAGGAAAGACCCATACTTCTCGGCCCCCGGGCTCCAGCCGTCCAAGGGGAGAGATGGACCCCCGCCAGGTTCTGGACTTACGGATTACAAAGTGAGATTAACTCCAATGCCAAGCAATCACCCATCTGCACCTGGCACTGGCAGAGCGGCGGTGGGGATAGATAAGCGGAGGGAGAAGAAAGATGCGGCGGCGCAGGCAGCACGAATCCAATCCAATACAAGGCCACCATCGCGAAATTTCAGGGCCGGCCACGGTGAGTGACTCAAAAACTCCGAGTGGTGTGGGGAGCGGACAGCCTCGCTTCCCTTGACCACATTGGAATTTCCCATCTTTCATCGACGAGCATCGACGACTCATCAGTCAATAGTCACGATCGAATGCTCACGATCTCCTTGCACAAAATTCTCATTCTGACCCCTTGCCTTGAGGGAAGAAGAACTCCACCGTTCTGCGTAAAGATGCTCCGCCGTGCCGAAGGACTCGCAGTCACAGGCTCTGGGCTGGCTGCACTCCCCTTCCCCCTTCCGCACCGCCGCCCGCCCGAAACAATCCCATCCACCGCACCCCGGCGGAGACGGGGGTGGGATATGTCGTGGAGCGGCGGTATGTTAGAGAACGATGGATCCTCGCGGTGCGGGCACAGATGCGGGCGAACACCTCGTCCAGTCGTCCAACTTTCAAGCGAGCACTCACTGGCAATCTTTACTGCGTATTCTCGCGAAGAGAGTCGAGACCTTTTTCCATTATCCACAGAACCGAGTTGATCTTGGAAATTCTGGACCTTGGATTTTCCTACGTTCCCACTGCACAGCGTAATTCAGCGGATCCAAATTGTCACTACCTCAGATCCCCCTTATCAAGCAGATCATGAACCCTAGAAAAAGGCACAACCCGCAAGTCCGCGACCAAGAGCCGTGGAGTTTGCGGATACATGGAGTATCCGTAGGAATGAATTGATTACATGCGCGCGTGAAGATCTTGCCCAGCCTTCGGACGCCGTGGCCGTAGTACCTTCCGTCCGCACACACACAATCCAATCTTCCTCTTATCTGATCTACCTTATCGATAAGACCAGGTGATTCCCAATGGAAGCATGGAAGATCAGATCGCCCTTCTCAAAATTCGCCATCGTGACCTCAGCATTCCCCACGTGCGGGCCGCACCCCTCATGCTCCAAAGTATCGACGTGATTGAAATCGACAATCACAGGTCGTCATCACGCGATCTATCCGTACACTGCGGAGTAGACAGACGCGATTGCGTGCGCGAGGCGAGAACAGAAGGACACTCGATCTACGGATATGCCATTGTGCACAATTGACACTTTGTCGAGGGTAAACTCCCTTCCCTGCTCTCCACCCTCGCCTACAGCCTCAAATGATCGACGGGGGGGAGACGCAAGCAGGACAAGCAAGGCAGATAGGGTCCAGGACTCCAGATTGCAGCCCTTCATTCTGAGTCTGGCCCCCCTCCTCGCGCCCTGAACCGAAAAAAAACCCCACGCCCGCAGGACTTTCAAGGCCCCCCTTCCCCCCAGGTCCCAGTGATTGATATCAATCCTCGTCGAATGAAGCCCTGCTCGCCAGCGTGTCTTTGTCTCATTCTCTACTGGGGGTTGATGAGATGAGGTGTCAAACTTGTCAATCGCTCATTCAACCTGTACGCACTTTGTCCAGGTAGGTACTCAGGCACCGCTTTGACATTTTTCCCCTTCGCCTTGCTCTCCAAGAAATAAGAAAAGAGGTAAACCCCCAGTCCATCCAGTCACGAACCTCGAGAGCCCAGCAAAGAGGTTGGGGCCAATTTCCCATAATGCTTGTAAAACCTGTCTAGGGGGGCCCGTCGCCTCAAAATCCGTCCAGGAACCCGAACCCTTTCAAGGCTTCACCGCCCTGCCTTACCTTTGGGTTTGTGGTTTTTTTTTTTCACTTTCCCATGCTGCCTGCCGTGTTGAGGCCCCCTCCCTTTCTCTCACCCGCAGGTAGGGTAGACTAGGTAAAGTATCCCCTCCCCCCGGGATCGATAAAGGGACAGCATATACTTCGTACCCGAACGGGAGGCGGTCAAGTAAATACACCATCGTGGGACTCCCGCACCGCCGCCAAGTGCGACGGACGGGTGGGTGTTTGTCAGACCTAGACATCTAGGCCGGTACGCTACTCTCACATGGTGCGATTCGATTATTTTTCCATCCATTCCACTCCATACACCGAGAAAACACGGAATCTTGCCGAGACTTTTGGTATCGACTCGAGTCGGGGCACCTACAATCTAGATAGTCCTGTAAAATCTGCAATCCAACTCACAGGTGCATATCCGCTGGCGTCGTTTGTCGCGATATCCGTACCACCCCCTCACGAAACCCAACCTAACCCGCGGGATTCAAAACGTCCCCTTCGATCGGGAAGAAACAACGCAAGTGAAACAGAAACAAGCGTGCCTGCTGTCTCGTCACACTCAAGCTCTACGTTATCCGTACCTACCTCACCTTACTTCCACACACTTCTGAATTAGGCTTTCCGTAGCCGAGACTGGCGATCAAAAAAGATGGATTCGACTGCACGCATAGTAACTGACCGCATGCCGGTGTGCCTGCCGTTAGTCTACCTCCCTCACTCCCGCCGACGCTGCCGGTTCGGCCAAGGCTTCCGACGGGCGGGCGGGAAAAAAACTGGATCGGCAGAGTGCACCACCACCTTACCACCTACCACCATCAACACTACCGTTAAGCCGTCCCGTCGGCGTGCATGCCTCTCACGAGTCACACCTTCTTCCTTATCGCCGGCCGTGTCGGCTCAATCGCGAACCTGCCGATCCGCGTGCCAGCGAAGTCGGACGCTGAAGACATGGTGGTTGCCGGCGTGTGTCTGAAGACCGGATGGATAGACCGGATGAATCATTTCAAACGGCGGCAGGCAAAAGACACACACCCCCCTCTTCGTGGTCTCGTCGCTTCCAGTTTCCAGTCCTATCATTTCCTGCATAGTACCGTGTTGGGATTCGAACATTTGGTTCTGGAGGATACTTGGCGCATCTGCATCGTGGAAATGGCAAAGGGGATGGATGCCCAGCAAACAGGCCGGTCGCCGACGAAGCCGTAACAGTACAGTGGTCAAGGGCCCCCCCGGGCGACCCTCGTCAAAGACTTTCACAAGCCAAGCCCAATGGTGGTGCCATTTCCATCTTGCCTTTTGATCTGCCAATCTTAAAAAATCTGGCAGCTCAGATCTCCCGTCGGGTCTTTCGGTGCTGCTCGCAGTGCCTTATGTCAGCGCGGGATGACGGTGGCCTCGGCCCTCGAAAAAGGGACGCGCTCGGGCCCCTATGCGCACCACGTGTCTCCACGTTCGGGCCCCGAGGGAACAGTTCTGTCGCCCGTCCAGCGGATTTCTGGCAGGGCAATTGCGGGAGGTTGTCTTCTCCGTCGGTTCCTCTGGGGGGGGCCCTGGGGCTTATCTCCTTTGGGTTCGCCGTCTCCAGTCGGACGGGATTCGTCCGTCCGCGCGCTCACGCCCTGTGCTGATGACAGTCTTCCATTTTTTTTTTGGCCTCGGTGACTCGCATTCGCTGTCGCGGCCGCGTTGCGCACCCCTCCCCCCAGCATACCGTAATTGTGTACGCGGGATGCCACACCGTACACACCTTTTTCTTCGCAGGCTGGTGGCTGATGTCGGCTTCGTATCGTCGTAATCGTTTTTTTGGCGTCGTCTTCCATTTTTTTCTGCCTCTTGGATTTTCCCAAAGTCCCAGCTGCGCCATGCTTGCCTCGCAATCGTTTTTCTTTTCGGTTCCAATTGAATATCCATCAGACCAGTCCCAATCAGATCATCGTCGCCGTTCATCGTTCACCAGCGGCGTTCATCCGTAAAACTCGGATGGAAAATGAAACATCGTGACATTTGACTCGTCGGCGACTATCCGTAACATCCTCGGTGACATTCCTTTGTGCAAGTCGCTTCGGGTGCGACGGCGGGGGGGCGAATGTGATGAATAATTCGAATCGCTGGCGTCGGCTTTTTCGCTGTTTGCTCTTCACCTGCACCATTAAACCACGGGCTTAACCTCCAGGCAGCCTAATTATTAATTCCGTCTCTTTGCGGTCAAAAAAAAAAAAGGGACTGTACGGCGGTAGGGGAGTTAAAACACACCGCCAAAACCCGAATGCCATGAGGAAACCCCTCGTGATTCGTCCACGATACGGCGGCGTTAGTGAACCACGGAAATCTGTGAGACGGTGACTGTCCTGAGAGATGACTAGACGGAAGGCAGGGGGGCGTGTCGTTAAAATGTCGGGGCGCGGAAATCGGTCGTCGTCGTGGAATTTGCTTTGTAACCCCCGTTCGTTCGTGGCAGGCTGGCAGGCAGCACCAAGCGCAGCTGCGCAAGGCAGGCAGCTCGGCTTCGAAGGGTGAGGTAAGCGAGTGAGCGAGCGAGGGGTTGGCGGGCGGGCACCTGAGCAGCTGTTGGAAAGACCGGAGGTTGAGCGACGCCGATCTGCCGAGATCGCAGGGCGCATCCACCAATCCTCTTCGGGTACCTGGGCGAAGATGGTAGGCGTACCTATGCAAGTACTCCGTAGGTTATAGGCATAGGCATAGGCATAGGCCAAAAAAAAAAAAGCCGATTTTTGTGAGGTGCGCGGTTTGGAGTCGTCGTAACGCGCAGCGGCGCATTGTAACGGGCAGGTCTTTGCTGAATCATGTGGTCTGCCTAAATGACTCGGTCAGCGCGCAAGTTTCATCCAACACTCCTACTTTTCGCCCCGAGATGAGGCGAATGAAGAAGCAATGATGATGCAATCGTGACTTACCTTTTTTGTTGTGTTGCTCCAAGTCCTCAAGCCAGTTATTCACAGTATTGCAGAGGACAGGGGGTTTGATTTGACTGATTTTTCAATTGATTGTTTGATGCTTCGCTTTTGAATAGGGCACTGTTTGACCCCCTAAGCGGCTATCTATCTGGTTTCTGTAACACATTGTGCTGGTACCACTCAACCGCGGACTGGAGCCCGGGAGCGGAAAGACAGCTGAAGAAAAGAAAAAAAAGTCCCGATTCCATTATCCATCAGGGTCCTCCAAATAGGCACCCCATGCTTTCTCATTGCGCATATAGGAAAAATAAGATGAGAGAGAAGAGTTGAGAAGACATTGCTGTCGTTTTGTAATCCAAATAATTCGTGACCCATGCCGTTGTAGTTTGGTATCGGTGACAAATGATAAACGCCGTAATATATGCAAACGCTCGCTGATGTAAAAAGCCAAAGAAGAGATCATGTTACAAGGTAGTGCGTGATACTCGAGTGTAGACTTAGTACACTGAGATGGCAGACACGAGCCTTGCTGGGTTGCGGGCCGGCAGGTAGTATCCTTCCGAGTAGAAGGTACCGTCGCCCTGTTGTGATTGTTGTTGAGAGATCTCTTCCTTGGCCTCCTTCTCATTGAAGGTGAGCACTGCGTTTGGCGGTGACGGGGGCATCGACTCGTCATCTGAGATGTCAGAGTCGTGCTCGTGCTCGAGCTCTGGTGGTGAGCTGGAGCTGGAGTGGGATGGTGTGCGGACGAGCTCGAGCTGTGCGTAGTCCTCCTCGAGGTCGTCCTCCTCGAGGTCGTCCTCCTCCATGTCGTAGTCTTCCGAGACCTCGATGGTGGATGTTCTCGGGGAAGCGGGAGCGGCGGAGGGCATGCGGCGAAGGGAGACGGTGTCGGCCATCTCGATGTCGTCCTCCTCGTAGTCGTCATCAGAGGAGACGGAAGAGTCGTCCGAGTCGGAGGAGTCATCCTCGTAGAGGTCCTCCGAGTCCTCGGCGATGGAGTCGGCCCATTGGATGTGACGGTCCTTGGTGGCAGCGGGAGCGGACTCGGTCTTGGTGGCACCGCGGACGGACTGGTTGAACCAGCTCTCTTGTTCCCGCTCGGCGTCGGCGAGCTCAAGCATCAGGGAGTCGAGGAGGTTTGCGTGGCCGACGAGGAGGCGGAGGTCGTGGTCGGCGCGGGCAGCCTCGGAGGAGAGCTTGGCCCGGGCCTTGTGGGCGAGGTAGTAAGTCTGGGTGATGCTCATCTTCTTCTTCTGGACGGCAAGGCGGAGAGGTTGTTGTGTGTGAGGAGCAGTGAAGGTGGAAGTTGTGGTAGTTGTCGACATTTTGTATGACTGTGCACCAACGGTGACTGATATGTCGCGATTTTGGCTGGTATGACTCAAAGCGAGATCGGGGGGTGCAAGATGCAGTGGGGCAGGGATGCCTGGGCTAGTTGGCTTGGTCTGTGATGATGCTTTGGTAATCTGGTTATTTTGGAGTATACCAGATGAGGCGGCGAGATGAGATGGTAAAGAGGCAAGGTCGATAATGGTTATATAATAGGTCAGGTTGGAAGATGTTTCTTCTTGAGAGGAGTTAGTATCGATCTTGTGTCTTGGGTCTGTTGAAGCTGAGGCTGGATGATGGGATTTCTCTAGATCTGGTTGGGAAGGGGAAACACATTTCTTTTAACTCAGGTTGCTCCGCTGTGCTGGCTGACCTGGACTTGTCGGGCTCGGAGAGAAGAAAAGTGAGGGAGGAGCGGTGACAAGGGGAGGGGTGTGAGAGCGAAGGGTGTGCAGGTGCAGGGGGTGGATGACCCATCGGGGGTGTGAGAGGGTGGGGTGGGGGTGTGGGCGGGAGTTTTGCGCGATTGCGAGGTGCGAAGTGCGAACCTTCCTAAGCAGAAAAAATTATGAAAGCGATGAGTCTTTCGCTGTGCCTGCAGAAAGTGGGGGCTTCTCTAAGCTCCGCACCACGGTAGCCGTTCCTCCATCGTGGACTTTGGGCGGCGTTTGTCATCAGCAAGGCCGAGGGTGCTTCCCGAGCCTCCGCCAGCTGGGCATTTGTCGCTGCGGGCTGCGGGTGGTGTTCGGACTTTTGGAGCTTACCTACGCTGCCGCCGGTCGGTACGGCGTAAGTGTACGGTTGCCCGTCGCTAGCAAACCCAAGACGCTAATCCGGTTGTCGTCGTCGTCGTACCTAGTCGTGGTCGACCTTACCACGCTACCAAAGGGCGCCCAGAAGAACCAAAGTCCTGCCTACTGCGTAGACTCGCTGCGAGGTTCTCGAGGGTCTGACGCACTCGGCGGAAACAACACGACGACTCATCGCGGACTGAGTACGTACCCCGAAGATCCGTAACCTTCTGCCCGTACTCCGTACCTTGCTACCTACCTTATTGCAGCTTGGGTACGGAGCATCGCTGCTTATTCGTCAGGTCGCTAGGTACCTCGCGTCCTGATGGGATAAGCGTCCACGTTTGTCAGCCTGTGCTCGCTTTTCTCTGTAATCAATCAATCCACGTCTTCCATCAGAATCGGCCACTAGACTTCTCCAGCAAAGCACGCACTCCCGCTAGTCTCGTCTCATCTCATCCCCTCTCCTCGTTCTTACCATACTCCGTAGTGACTTTGTATTCATCATCACCAAAACGGAGACAGGAATTAGGCATAACTCCCATAACTCCGCACCGACCAGCAGTTGGATTAATCACCAACCTTACTCTGCCACCCACCGCTGCCCCGGCGTCTACGCCCTTTCACCCTGTCCGTCAGGCGCGTCATCTCTTCATCGCTAGCTAGCTCCGTCTCGTCTGCCTCAATTTCCAATCTGACACGCCGTATCATCGTGAACACACACGCAGGTTATGCTTATGGTTCGCTTGCTGGCCTTGGCTCTCGGCCGCAGTCGCACGCACGCCTTACCAATTACCATAACCCCGGCTGCCTACCTTACAACCATAATTACACACTCTCTCTCAGAAAAAAGGGATGATGGCTCATTTCCTATACTCTGTAACTCGCACCATGCGCGCAATCTGCGACAAGCTGAGGCCAGCAAGCGAGAATAGAAAAAAAAGGGAACGGGCCTCATAATGTCAATAGCGGGATTCCAGCTCACTCACGACGGGGGTATGTTTTGCTTAACCCCGTCCCAAGGTGCCATCCCAAGAATTTCCAATTCCCCTTGATTGTCACAATTGCCAAATGTAATACCCCAGGGCCAAGGCTGAAGGGGGTCCTGATCTGATGTCGCTCCCGTTCACCCCCTTTGGGATAATGACAGTTCACAGTACTCCGTACCCCCGGCATTCTGTACTCCCCGTAACGGATCACCTGGGGTGCGAGAATGGACAAAGATGGGAAGCCTAAAAGTACTGCGCCGAGAGCCGTTGCTACCTCAACACCTCACCCTCACCCCGGTCGATCGCCAGGCCTTACAGTTTACGGCGCCGAGACAAGGGAATACAGTACGGCCGCGAATTGTGCGAATGCGCACGGGGGTAAAGCACAGCGCAGCACAGCACAGCTTGGTACGAATACCCTGGCCGCTGCTGCTGCTGCTGCTGCTGCTGCTGCTGCTGCTGCTGCTGCTGCACCGCCTCCTCCGCCGTCGGCTCCGTCCACGTCCTCCTGCGAGTGCGAGCAGTGCGAGCTTGCGAACCGGGGGGCAGACGACGGGGGATAGACATCTGCGGAGAGATTAGATGCTGGCCAGCTGACTGCCTTCGCGGACACGCACCAATCACAGGCCCTTGCGAGCTGAGGCGCTACGCAGAGAGAGTATGTACGAAAGTACGAATCCCATCTGTACGGATACACGGAGTAGATCCGTACGGATTTACGAATGGCCCCGAGCCACACACTCGTTTTGTAGGGCTGAGCCTTGACGCGCGAGAGAGGGAGAGAGAGAGAGAGCAACGTAGCAGGAGTCTCATCGCCCTTCCTGTTACACGTATTACATTACGGTATCCTTACACTTACTTTCCTCTTACTCGGCCGGGTTAGGCATAACGCCCTTCGCTCTCGGCATAACTCTTGCTTAAACATTCCTGTCCGTACCTTACACAAAGTACCTTGCGGTCGGTGCCTGGAGTCCACGTCTTGGGGAGACGCGGGCAGCCCAGCCACAGGACCCGGAAAGGCCCATGATGAGTCGGAGCCTGAAAGCAAGGTACGGTGCTCTAACTTCACAGCCCGGACCATCGTGAAGAACTATTGCCCCGGGCGACGGGGTTCATTCGAACGGGGGCCACCGCAGCAGACTTTGGACGAAAAGCCTGATCGGCCGGGCTTGAAACTTTTTTTTGTCTAGATACCCAAATTGCCCAATAGAGTCCAAAACGCTTGATCAATTTTGCTCATCGGGCTCGAATTGATCTGTTTCGATCTACAGAATGGAAATATCAGTCAAGTATCAGGAACAAGTATTTGCGCGTCGCCGACTTTGTTCCTGTTTCCACGGGGGACCATGGCCCAGCAAAAATGAGGGAGGGAAAAAGCAAGGACGGTGACGATGACGATGATGACCCGGGAATCACGAAGCCCGCACCGCCCGGGGGACATCTCTGAAAGGTGTCAAGTGATGAAACCATAGGGAGAAACCCACCGCGCCGAAGCTTCCCTCCGACTTTGCCCATACAGAAAAGACAAAGGGCCGCCTTCTGGGCATTAGACGCGCCCGAGAAAGATTGGGGGGGGGACGCGTCGGAGACGTTTCGGCACCGTGAATCGGGGCACGGAGCGAATGTCAAAGTGAAGGGGGCAGACAACTCTAAAAGATTACGCTCACACTTTGACAGCGAACAGCCACAGGTTGACGGTGCAAATCAGGTATTATGGCTCATCTTTGGTCATCGACTCACCAGTCATCCGGGCAGATCTGAATGTCCTGGGGGCACGACGCGAATGGCAGGGTTTGGCGGTCTTCAAGCCACAAAACGCAATGCTTACACACCCCTCCTCTCTCTCTCTCTCTCTCTCTCTCTCTCTCGTTCCCGGGTACCCATAGCGGTCGGTCGGTCGAAATCGCCGTGCTCCGCTCCGCTTTGAGTCGAGATGACCCATCGACTCTAGGTACTCTACTCCGTCCTGCCAGTGGCTCCGTCCCAAGTCTGCCATTCAGTCTGCCTACATACGACTACCTGTCTGCAACCAGTCTGCGCCTATACGCCAATACGTGGACGCGGGGGAGACGAGGATGTGGTCTGTCCAGGTCAGATCAGAACCCACGGCATCATCGAGAGCGTGGCTTGCTGCATGCGTGCCCCGTAACCTTTTTCCATCACCACCACCACAGTACTTCTTCTCTTTCGCTTTCGCCGTTCAAGTTCCAACCCGTGAGATTGGTTCATCCAATCGCGAGGCCGTTTGACAGAGACGCAACCCCTCGATTGGGCCTGCCCTACGTAGCTACCCTCAGTCTCGCGTGAGATGGGACCATCGGTTCTAGGGTTACACACGCGTACATGAAGCCCGGGCCAAACTTCGCGAGGAGCTCTCACAAGTTACCCAGCAAGCGGAGGGGGGTGGGATCAAGACAGCTCGCCCGAAAACTTCCCTTTTGCGTGGCGCGCGTGATCGTCGACTTGTCGACATTCTTCCGGCTTCGAATCCCAGTGTTGCGGGATTTGGGGGCCGGCTGTGCCTGGCGGAAAGCTTCCAAGCTTACTCCGTGGTACGGAGTACCTGACCTACAGGCTACCGTACCAAACCCCACGATCTGCACAAAATCCCGGATTGGGGACGAGTACGGCGGAATACGGGCGTCTACGGCTACACGGCCTTGTGTAACGAAATCCTTCGTAAACTCGCGTGGGCCGTACCGTAACCCGTAGCGATTCCTAATGCTTTTCGCAGACGGGTCGAAAAGCATTGACTGTTCTATTCCGGTGTCTACCGGTATTCAATCTCTCCTACCTTTAATCCTCCCGACTCCCTCCGTTGGGAACGGGGGAAACAATAAAGACGTGGGGGGGGTTTCCCAGAAAAAACGGTCCCGTGTCGTCCGAAGATAAGTGAGCGGAAGAGAGCTTTGACGATGAATCCGGATTTAATGCGGAGGATAACGGGAGAAAGACAGAGTGAGAGGGGGAGGGGAGTTCGGCATCTTTGAAAAGCGGCCGTCTGATGAAGCGTGACTGTTTTCTGTTCTGGACTTCTCCAAGACCCTTGAGTTCCATACTTTCGAGCCCTTCCGAACTACCCGCACGGTTCACTTGTTGCCGTGGCCCCGACGGCCGGACGGACGGCCACCTAGATCGGCGAGTAGAGGAGCACGTTGGACCCCGCCAAACCAAAACTCTCTCACACGTGAGAGAGAGAGAGAGAGAGAGATGTGCAACCGGGGAGTCTACAGATAGGTAGAACAGGTAAAAGAGTCATCAGTAATCAGTGAAACCCGTGAACGGGATCCAACCCACGCCCACACCCACTCCTCACTCCCACGCTCTCGCGTCATTGAGATTGGACTGAAAATGCCGAATAGAGCTAAAAGCTTCTTTCACTCTGTAGTCCCATGATTCCCAATCCCAACTCCGCGGTAATGGCCAAGTGGTCTATGCTCTCTCTCCTGCTTCATAATCACCTACACACTCCCATCCTCTTATTCCCACACCGCGGGATGACGAGATCAGGGGTCTTTTGTGCGTATACTCCATACAAATCATCAGACTGCCCCCCAATACTCACAAGTCCGCTCCGTTCATGTGTCAGCGTCGTGGAATCGCCGAAGAAGCGAGAACTGAGAACTGCAGCCCTGCAAGCGGGGAGGGCTTGGTTCGGATAGGCCTCGGATGAGATAATCCACAATGTGACAAATGGATGGAAGTCTTTTGAACAGGCTGATGGAGATTCGGGGGAATCTGAGGCCAGCTTACTTTGCCTACAGCAGCAGCAGCAGCAGCAGCAGCAGCAGCAGCAATTCATCGCATTTGGATATCGCCAATTTGCACTGCATCTCCATTGGTAAGCCTCTTGCAGAATACAACACAGCACAGCGCAGCGCAGCGCATCATCGTCACCGCCGTACGCAATGGAACGTAGCAGCCAACTCGCCGTTTCCCTAGCTGCAGGGTTGGATTACCTACCAGATAGGGCTGGGTGCGATGCGGAAGAGAATCCGTACCTATGTACCACACATCGTACTCCATACCCGTAAGAGAGCGAGGGTATGCAAAAAGCTCGGACTCGCTCGCGGAATGCGGCCGGGGTGTCTGCGTCGATTTTTGCTGTGCAGCACTCGATACCGATTCCGCACCCGCTGACATGCATCCTCCGTCCGAATGTGTCCAATAACTGGCGCCGCGAGCCGTCAAGTCACCAATCAGGGAACACGGCGGATAGTACTTTCATAATCCCCAAGTTGCGCACGGAGATGTCCTGTGAGACGTGAGGCGGTGCTTGCTTACTTTACCCAAGGTACTCTACCGCATTGCATCTCACAAGGCTGTTATGCTCACGGCTCGTGGCTTGTGCCACCGCAGCCATATCGTACCATTGGTCAAAGGGACGCACATACCGGATGACTCTTTGGCATGTATGTATGTACTACCGAGGCATGTTCTACGCTCCCGCTTCCGCGTGTGTGCCACGCGACGCGGACGAGGCTTTGTGGCTCTGCAGTCTTTTGCCTATACGGCTGCTGGACGTGCTTCGAACTGCGGCGGCGCTAACGAGCCTCCCAAGCCTCCGCGGCCTGCCCCGGTGCAGATTTGAATACCCGTGGACGTGGACAAAATCGGTTCGGCGATGTGCGGCCGGAATGTCGCCGTGATGGGGGGTTTCCAGTTGGGACAAGGCCCCGGGTACCGTACGGGGGTGTGGCTTGCGAGAGTTTTCTTGTCTTTCTTTCTCGGTTTGCACCGAAGACGCCCTGCAGTTTACAGAATTCCTATGTGGCATTGCTGCACGATGTCGTCGTTCATGGCTGGGGGTTCAACTCGATCCGACGTTTCGGGGTTATCTTCTCAGGGTACGGACTTGCATTGGATTATTCGTACGTCTGTCGGGGTTAATCGACAATGGAAGTTCGATACTGGTGCTGACTCACTGGTTAATATCTATATGCACGACAATCCAGAAATAGGGCGCCCTTTCGAATGCCCCTTGCGGAGGAACTGCACCTCCACGGAAATAAGAACGAGATATGTCCAGAAGAAGGGGGTTAGAGGCTCTCAAACTCTTCAAACGCAACACCCCTGTCACATCGCGGCCTTCTCGCGGCCTTCTAGCGTCCTTCCATTTGGCGGAGTCCCACTGCATATGGACCGTGCGCGGAATCATATAACCTTCTAGCGTGCTTCTAGCGTGGAAGACAGGGGTTCTGCGGTCCTGCGCTCCTGATTTTCACATTTGCGGAGCCTCGCTTGCCGTCTCGGTGTTCCATTGCTCCTGTCATTCAGCCTGACGGACCACGGTGCCATCGTGTGAGAGGTTGTGGGCTGCCAGGGCTGATGTGCGACAGGGCTCATGGCTGTCAATTGTCGGAGCCTCCAGGCACACACATCGCCACGGCGTCCAACCAGAGCCACGCGACGAAGTTTTTCATTCTTTCGTCCGCTGGGATCTGGGTTACGCGGGATCGAACTAGTGGATCAATCACAGAAAACCTCACACCAAGTGGACTTCAGGTATCCAAGAGGCTAGGATGGAGAAAATTTTCTTGCCCTCTTTCCCTCTTCACAGGCATTTT